GGATGAAGCAGGCCTCGTCCGTCAGCTTGCAGGCGGACACACTGTGGGGACAGGAGCCACCCTGAGATGGGGCCTGGCAAGCTGGCACGGCACGGCCACATCAGTCCTGCCAGCCCGGGAGCAAGGGGCACAGCTCTGCACATGAGCCTCACCACAAGGCTTTCAGAGAACAGACAGGATGCATCCACAATTTGTGGCTGCCGGGGCCGGCACACGGATCCAGGGGATCCCAAACCCAAATCCTTCATACTTCGCAGTTCCTGCAGCCAGGGAGCAGAGGAGCTCTACAGCTATTAAACTGGTCCTTGCTGCTGCCCAGAAACCAGCACGTGAAGTGGTTTATTATGTCTCAGCACATCCCGAGCACTGTGGCACCCAACCTGATGAAGGAGCTCATCCTTCCACCCTTCGGGGTTAGGTGTGTGTCATCCTTCACATGGAGAGAAAGCGACCACGAGTGCGAGGAGCTGAGATCACAGCATAAAACCACAGCTCGCTGCCCCCCGAAAGTGATGCTGTTTTGCCAGGTGATGCTTTCCACGCTCCTTCCTGCCAGTGGAACAGGCTAGGGCTTTCTCCAGTCCATGGGAAGTTGGAGGGGAAGCAGTAGTGAGGTGAGAGAGCAAGGCTCAGGGTGCAGGGCCGGGGGAACTATCTGCACTGGGCTGCAGCATCATTAATTCCAGCTGAGGAGGAATGTTTGCTCCAGCTGCTGCTAAGGACTGCAGGAAGGGACCAAGTCCTGGGGGGAAGAGCAAAGCAAGTCGCCTGGCAGCTTGGAGGCTGCGTCCCCCTGCGCGGGGGCTGCAATGTGCTTCGCAATTCCCTGGCGTGAACCAGGGCAGCGGAGTCTCCCTGGGCTTTGCTCCAGCTTTCCACTCACGTGGGGAGCCTGCCCATGCAACGCTACCCAGTTGTCTACCCTAATAGCTCTCACGACAGAAAAGCCCATCAATTCCGAAGGAAAAAAAAAAATCCCATTCTCTCTGCCACGTGTCAAGACAAGTATCTTCCTTTTGTTTGGACTGAAAACGCAATTTTGTGCTGTCGGAACTGAAGAGCTGAAAAACAACACTTCAAAGGGAACAGCACGAACATTTCCCATCGAAAGTGGCTTGGAATCTCCCACGGGAGAAGGAAAGAGCCCCTCAAAGAGCAGCTGTGCAGCCTCCAGGGACACACTGGCAGCGGTGTGTTGCTGAAGGCAGACATGGCCCCATCCCCTGCAGAGTGGCACGGGGGGGCAGAGCCTTGCCCTCCCGCAGGGTTAGCTTCAGGTGTGCCCGGCTGCGTGCCACCAGCACCACATTGCAGCAATGCCCTTGACTATTCAAGCCCTTCAGTGCTGGAGGACTGCGTGCATTCACTCACACGCGCGTGCCATTTGCCCTTCCCTCCTGCCATTAAAACCACCCCCCTGCTTGCCAAGTGGTTCTTGCTGGGAGTACCTGCAGCAGGAGATGGGACAATACCGCGGGCAGAGACACTGCCTCGTCCTCTCTGCAAGGCCAAACCTCTGTGCCTCTGCACCGACCAGCACACAAAACACTCCACAAAAAGCCCTTTTAGTCCCCAAGGGGGGCATTTAAAAGCCCCTGTTTCTGGGCAAGCCACGTGACGAACAACCCCGCTGCCTGCCACACTTACTGCAGGCAGCTGCTCTGCCCGGCGGTGACCTCCGTGTAGGACCTGAACGCCTGGCGAAACTCCTCGATGCCGCTCGTCGACACCGAGATCTGCCTCTTCGCCACCAGGATGTGCTGCAAAGGGACAGGGGACAAGTGGCATCAGGGACCAACCTGTCCCCTCCTGCCCTCCCTGCTCCCACCCTGCTGCAGGACAAGGCGGTGCCAAGCAAGCACAGCACTGCAGCGGAAGCCGCACGAAGGGGCTGGCACCACAATGCTGGGGACAATGCCAACGTAAAGTGGCTTCTTCATATCTGGGCAGGTTGCCTTTACAACGAGGACCGCACCAACAGGAGATGCTCCATCCCCTGGTGGCAGGGTCCTGCTCTGGGGCTGCTGCAGGAGGACCGCACCAACAGGAGATGCTCCATCCCCTGGTGGCAGGGTCCTGCTCTGGGGCTGTCCTCGGGACCCCTCCACTGGGGCTCTGCACGGTCTGTGGGCACTCGGAACAAACCTGGGGGATTTGGGCACTTGCAAGTGTGGAGCGTTGCCTTCCTCTGGGCTGGCCGTGGGCACTGCCCAGGGCTTTCATGGACCTGATGGAGCTGTGTTTGTCCTGTGGAAGGTCCCATGCCCAGCTCACAGCTCTGACTCCCATCCCGCTGAATCACCAGGCAGTAGACCCCATGCCAGACCAAAGCCAGCAGCTCACCCAGGTGCCTCCAGTCTCTGGGCACAGGGGCTGTGTGAGAACGCATGTGTGTGCGAGAGAGGGCATCTGTGCACACTACAGGGTTACCTGCAAACAAGCAGGAGGACAGAGACTTACTGCATCTCTTCCTTTGCACATTGCTTCCTCCTTCAGCGGCTCCAGGCGCGGGCTCTGCATTTAACACCACAGGAAAAACCATCGCTGCTGGGAGAACTTTGCAGCAAGATAAAACGCAGCAGTAACCCACAGCCCAGCCCAGGTCAGTGTGACAGAGAGGTACCACTCTGGGGACATTCCTTTGGCTACCTGGGGGAGAACAGGGATGTGACCTGCACATCTGTGGGGCTCGGCGGGTCCAGACTGACTTGTCAGATCAGCACGGACTACGGAGAAGCCAAGGGAGGGTCAGCAGAGCTGAGGGGAGAAAGGGGCCTTTGGAGACAGCAAGGGACAAGCAGCTTTGCAAGTCCGGCTCTGGTGAATGGGTACAGCTCTGTAACGATGTCAGGACCAAACACCAGGGCCATCAGCACAGGGAAAGGTCCCACCACCAACCTGGCTGGCACCAAGGTGCGGAGCAGCCCCCGCCCGCCTCCCCTGTCACACACCTTGCACTCCAGCTTCTCGATGAGCTGCTGGA